CCCTAAACCCCAAACCCTAAAAACTCCGAACCCTAAACCCTAAACCCCCCTAGTCCTTCAAAGCGCGAGCAGACGGTCGCTCGGCCTCTTCATCTGCGCCCGGAGGTCGGAAAGATGCTTCATTAGCTCGTGAGCCTTTTAGGGTGGCTTAGGGTTTGAGGTTTCGGGTTTAGGGGTTTAGGGGTTTAGGGGTATAAGGATTAGGGTTTAGGGTTTAGGGCTGTTTTGGAGGTTTAGGGTTTAGGGTTTAGGGCTTTTTGGGGGGATTAGGGCTTAGAGGTTTAAGGGCTTAGAGGTTGTTTAGGGTTTAGGGTTTAGGGTTTAGGGCTGCGTGTCGGGCTTGGGGCTTCCAGCTTCTGGCGTCTTAGGGTTTGGGGTGCTTTGAGGGTTTGGGGTTTGGGTTTGCGCCGGGGGTTAGGGGTGTTTTGAGGGTTTAGGCTGTTTCGAGCTTCATGTAGGGTGGGGGTGTTTTGTCAGAGTTTGGGGTCAGAAGTGAGTCAGAAGTCTTGGTACGCGGTTCACGGGCTCAGGAACCTTGGATGGATGGAGTTGCGTGTTCCTCTTTTATACACGGCTGGGAGCTATGTTGCTTTAGGGTGTTGGGCTTAGGGTTTAGGGGAGAGGAGGGTGCTGCTATCCCAGCAAAACCTTTGCAGGGAACACGACCCAGTCTCGTTTCGTAAAGACAACCTCAACAAAGACCAGATGCACGCCTTTCTTGACTGGCTCTATCGACATCGTATCAAAAAAATGAACAAGCCCCAAACCCGGACTCGTGAAATCCTGGATCTTTAATACTTTCAAAGTCCTGGAGTGGGGAAACCCGAGGACCCGGCGACAGCGGAACCCTGAAGCCCTCAACGAAAATCCATGAAGCACCCGAACCCTGCAACACGCCATTCGGAAGAGAGGAAAAAAAAACCTTTCCTGGCTCACCACACGATCCAGGCGATCGACCTCGCGGCTTGACCACAAGTTTTCGGGTTTAGGCTTTGAGGGTCGGAGTCAGGGCAGTCAGGGTTTAGGGTTTAGGGTTTCGATTGCTGGCAATAGTAGCTCGGCAGCAGCAGCAAACACCGGCATCAGGGCTCAGGCTACCGTGTCTGAGCCGAAAACCTGAACCCCTAGGCCCTGAACTCTACTATCCACAAACCCCAAACCCGGAACCGAAAACCCATCACTAAACCCTGATCCCCACCTTAAACCACAGTACGTTGAACCCTACACAATACACACTAACTTCCAAACACTAAACCCGAAACGCTGAACCCGAACACAAAACCCTCAAACCCCAAGCCCCCCTAAAACCCTGGCCCCAGAAAACCCTATCTACCTCAACTCGCAGCTGCCCTTAGTTGCCCTAAATCCTAAACACTACCCATAGGCCCCATAGTAGTTCCTTTTTGGGGGGTTACCTTATAGGACCCTATATATGAACCCCCAAAAAAAACTACTTTAGGGCCTATGGGTACACAGAAAATCCCAATCCCTGTACTCTGAGCTGCCCTTTCTCGGGGTTCCAGCAGATCCTGAGTCTACTCGTTAACCCTGAACCCTCATCATTTTGGACCCTATATACGCTAACCCCTACACCCTACACCCTAAACCCTTTGTATCCCTAAACCCTAAACCCTAAACCCTATAAACCCTATGTATCCCTAAACCCTCTATCCTAAACCTATATGTATCCCCTACTGCAGCCCAAAGCTGCCCTTACTTGGAGGTTCATGGGTAATTATAAGTAGGGTTGTAAGTAGGGTAACTATAGTTATAACCCATATCAGGGGACTTATAACCCTACTTATAACCTTAAACTGCCCTTGTTCTGGGGCTCCCACAGGATCCGGGTGCTTGTTGGAGGCCGTACCCAGCCGGGTCTGCCACTGCTGGGCCTGTTTAGGGTTTAGGGTTTAGGGTTGGCCTGCTACCGTAGGGGGGTTTAGGGTCGAGGGCTTATGTAGGCTTTAGGGTTTGGGGGGTTTTAAGTTCAGGATTTAGGGTTTAGGGTTTAGAGAGTTCAGGGTTTAGGGTATAGAGTTTAGGATTTAGGGTTTAGGGTTCCGGGTCTAGGATTGCAGGTCTAGAGTTTAGGATTTAGGGACCTGAGGTTAGGGTCTAGGGCTGAGGGTTTAGACTTTAGGGTTCGAGGTTCGGGGTTTAAACAGAGTTTGAGTTTCGGGTTTAAGGTTAAGGGTTTAGGGTTAGGGTTTAGGGTTTAGGGTGGGATCGGGTTGATGGATGAATTTCCACATCGTTTATGGCTTTACTGAGTGCTGGCTTGCTGGAAGTAGGAATCCTCGTTTGCGCCTGGAGGGGTGCCGTTCTTCCAATAAGGATCTTCCAATAAGGATCCTGCTACTAGGTCCATCTCCGGCTCCCGTCTCGAGCTCCAAATGAGAACGCCGGTGAAGGACATTGAAAATGATTCTGACTCCGAGGGTTAAAGATTAGTTAAGGTGTAGCAGTAGTACCAGCTTCGTTATTATTGTTGTCTAACCGTTCCACATTGCCCGCATGTTATTGTGCTTCGTTGTCATGTGCACTAGCTAGATGCTGTGCCCATACCCGTCACTCACATCCTTTTGACTGCTAGAGCATTACAGCTTACTCTTCTTGCTCGGTCCTGCGTATGCTCTGTACGATAAACTCTTGTAATTCTTGGTAATCCAGGGTTGCCTTGTTGTGATCAGTGCTTGCGTTTTTAATCGTATCTTGTTGTTTGTTGCTTGCGGTGCCCTGGTGTTCCCAATACCCAGATAGCTACTGAGTGGGTTGTATACTTGTCGTGGGGTCGCCCTTGAGCATGCTCCTGTGATTCTTGTTGCAATTTGAAAATACAATCAACCCTTTTCCGACCTCCTTCGGAACGGAAGAACCCTAAACCCTAAACCCCCTCTGGGCTTCTAACGCTCGGGCTTGTAGGCATGCCCCCATCGAGAGCCAACGCACAAAGTTGGGGTCTCCCGTGACCCACTCGAATTCAGTCGCTTGTAACCCCTGGTACAGATCTTACAGAACCCAACAGACAGGGGTACTTGGAGGTTCATGGGTGGTTATAAGTGTGGTTATAAGTGGGTAAAAGCTATAGTTACCCTACTTATAACCCTGCTTATAACTTCTAACTACCCACGAACCTCCAAGTAGGGTTGAGCACCTAAGGCCTGTAGGGTTTCAAAGAGGGTTTAGGGTTTCGGGCTTTACAAGGGGATCAGAACAAGGGATGAAGGTTTCTTAGGGTTTAGGGTTTAGGGTTTAGGGTTTAGGGTTTAGGGTTTAGGGTTTAGGGTTTAGGGTTTAGGGTTTAGGGTTGAGGGTGCAGGTTTACCAGGAGAGCCATTTGCGAGCAAACGGTGTTCTAGAAACCGGTCTGAGACCAGCTACAACAATCTTCCCTGTGCTACTGCAGCGGCCTTACTCATTAGAACAGGGTTTTCGGGTCCTCTATAGTATAAAAGAATACTCAGGAACCTTAAGGAGTAATATTGGTAATTATCTCTATAATATAAATCTAATCAGGAACCTTAAGGAGTCATATTGGCAATTGGGTGGTTGTCAAAATTATGGTCCCCTTTTGGGTCCTTATTATAATACGGCACCTATTACTTAGGATACCCCAAAAAGAACCATAATTTTGACAACTACCCAACTATTTACACCTCTGTGTTATGCTGCCCTCGGCCTGCTCCTCGTCCTCCAACTGCAGAACCAAGGCAGGGGCCTTAGACGATGGAAGGAAGGCCGAGTATTCCCAGGGGGTGCCCGGGGGTTTAGGGTCTGGGGTTTAGGGTTTAGGGTTTAGGGTTTAGGGTTTAGGGTTTAGGGTTTAGGGTTTAGGGTTTGCGAGACTCAAGCCTAGAGCCTTAAGACAGGGAGCACGCAAGGATGATGTAGGGGGCCTTAATAACTAGAATAGGGTTTTGGGGCCCTGTATACGATATTAATATTGACGAACCCCCAAAATGGTATAGGTAATTATTTGGGCTTTTGTATTAGTTTGGGAGTCTTGCCAAAGCCCGTCACATCACCACGCGAGGCGTGAGCCATACTACACGACCTCTCGAAACTGAAACTGGGTAGTACTACACTGCAAGTTGATATCATGACTTCTGCATTTCGCAGAAGCACCTCTTACTGCTGCTACTTGTGCTACCATTTTGTTGATAACAAAGAGTGTATACTAGGGTTTAGGGTTTTGGGCTCAGGCTTTAGGTACAACTTAGAGTACTAGACTACCGGGCCCCATTTTCTCGCGCCTGCTTGGGAATGACCGTCAGTGTCTTGCCGTCGCGCTCCACCTGGCAGTGGCAGGCTTGAGATGTGAGGGTTCGGGATTTAGGGCTGTGATGCTACACTGCGCATATGACCGTGCAACGGTGCAGTAATGCCAGAGCGCAGTTTCACTGTGTAGCGCGATCATACAATACTGCATGGTATCAACAATGCGCAACAGAATCGCACCATCACAGGCCCGAAAGTATTCTACTACTACACTTAGGCCGTGCCTTAACATAGTGAATCCCTGCACCGATGTAACGTCGCTAAACCCTAACCCTGAAGCCTCAAAGCTTACAAACCAAAAATCTAAACCCCAAACTCTGAACCCTAAACCCCCACTTGCCTGAAAATGTCCTCCGGACTCAGAACCTGAAAGCAACCAGTGGCCTGCGCACCCGCGACAGCCAGCAGAGGCCTCAAACGGAAGAAAACATGGAAACTTTTGGGGCTATAGTCCTTAAACCCTAAACCCTAAGGGTTAAAGGTCTTTGGGATGCGCATTACACCATCCTTCCTGATTAATATAGAGGCCTAAATAATCAGAATAGGGTTTTGGGGCCCCTTATACTATAGTTATAAGAAGGAGCCCCCAAAACCCTAAACCCTAAACCCTAAACCCTAAACCCTAAACCCTAAACCCTAAACCTATTCTAGTTGTTAAGGCCCCTACATTGCCGGGAACTTGGAACCCCGAAACCCAAAGCCCAGGCATCTCCAAGCCAAACCAAAAGCCGGGGTTTAGGGGTTTAGGGTTCACGCTTAGGGTTTAGGGGTTCGGGGTTTAGGGGTTTAGGGGTTTAGGGGTTTAGGGGTCTAGGGGTTTAGGGTTCACGCTTAGGGTTTAGGGGTT